GATACCCTTGGTTTGTTCTGAAGGAGTTGAACGTGTTCCTGCTTTGCAGGTCCGCTCAAGCTTGGTTTAAGCTAGCCTTCTTTTCTGTTTTCTAGAAGGAGGTTTTCAAGCTAACAGTGCTGGGGATTCATGCACCGTCCCGCTGGGAAGTGGCAGCCTGCCCCCAGAACTGAATTAATCACTCACGCTGTCATTCAAATCCTGACTCTGAATTTGTTGCATCAGCAGAGCTCAAGGAGATGCATGCTTATGCAGCAATTTGTGCCGGGATTTTAACACTGCTTTGTTCAAAGGTGTTAAAAGCCATTAGTTTAACAAAATCTTTTACAACAAACCTTTGTTAAAATGTGGTTTTATCCTTACTCCAATTGAGCATCAGGCAAAACAGAGAGCAAGAACTTTGTTAGATGCATGCAAACAAACCCAGCTAACTCCTGCCTGCAGCCAAAGGCCACTGTACTGCCTTAGCCAGGAGTCTGCTAGTTCCTTCAGCATTTCATTTAATTTCTCCTTACATGCCTCCAGGAAGGGCACTGACTTTCCTTTTACAGTGCAGGTGTCTCCCTTCACCAAACTTGTTGCTGTTGTGTAATTGCATGTAATTCCACCCCCACAACTGGAGCACTTATCCTCCTGCTATTTTTTCTAAGAAAAAATAGCTAAGTCACAGCACCTACACATTTTTTTACCCTTAAGAGATTTTTTTCTTTTGTTGACAGTACAGCGTGTGTGGTAGAGCTGGCACCATTATGCACTTGTAAACCTTGGGCTATGGGCAGTAGCGTTAAGTGAGTTTTACAGCCCCGTCTTTCAAATTCTTACCTCTATAAAAGAGGAATGAAAACACCGACACTGTTTTTTTATGTACATTCCACCTCCTCCCACACGCATCCACCTGGCTGAACTTGCCATTACTACCAATAACCAAACACTTTGCCCTTATATGGATAATTATTGAGCAAGATCTGGAAGCCTGATTAACCCATGGGCTGGATTATGAGCTTGACTTTATGCCTTCAGTAGCAGGAAGGAAAAAAAGAAGTTACAATTAAAAAGCATATAGAACAGCTTTTAGCTAGGAACAAGAGAGAAACTTGGATCAAGGGGGAAGGGAGAAACAAAACCCCGGAGGACTTGAACCGAAATCCCTTTAATTTGTAAATATGGGACAAAAGCAAAAATTCCTTTTCGAACTAAGAGGCAGACTGTGGTAGCAGTGACGTACATGTCCCTACAGCTCGCTAACTCCAGGCCAGTTGGTCTCAAACCTTTGCTCCAGTCCAGTAACATGATCTTCCTCCACACACCCCTGCCAGGTTGCTTCTACAACTGAACAAGAAAAATCTTTCCTTGAGGTGATTTGATGATTAACTATATGTAGGCAAAGGGTATGGACACTGTGCTGTCTGTCTTCTCTCTCTATGCTAAACAAGGTAACTCGCAGTCTTATATAAGCACCTTTTACTTTACAAAGCATGTTTGTCGGCACTAGGTACAGAGAGCAAAGCATAGTTCTTGGACTGAGGTTTTGAACCTAAACTGGGAATGAACTGCATCTTCAAACCTAAAGATGCATCAAAACTGTAGGAAGAAAGCAGTTCCAACTCCTGAGTATGTGGAGTGTAAGTGTTACCCTAGTTACAGGGAAAGGAAGGGGAAGAGATCCCATGAGTCTGAAACCAGAGCATCTTTAATCCACTTTTCTCTTCGCTGTGGGACCTTTTCACTGCCTCGCTTTGCTGATCTGTCAAGGAAAATCCAAACAGAAAATTTTAATGCCTGCTTGTGGCTGACTGATGTACTTTGGGTTGGCAGGCTATATATCGTTAAGCCAGAATCAGGTGGAAAAAAGATCCACACTTGCTCCAGGACATCCCCACTGCAGCCAGGAAACCGGAGTACGACAGGTAAAAATGCATGTTCTGCCCAAAACCCTGGAATTGCAGGGGAACAGGGACCATGCTGCTCGTTCCCAGTAAGGGTATGGGAGAATCCCGTAATACAAAACAAAGCATATGCTACCCTGCTTCATAAGCCAGTAATGCTAAAACAGATAAAGGTACATTTCTGGAATACCGTGTAGGAGGAGGTCCCCACTGCCCTGGTCCCAAAAGCTGGCAGGCTAGTGAAAGTCCCAGTCCTCTAACAAAACGTGCATGGACAAAACTCCAGTGTCCGTTGCAAGAGCGAGCCCCTGTTTTATGTGGCCTGGGGAAAGAAACCCGCACGCTTGATTTGGAGAGAGGATGAGACAACAGGTAACAAAACTCATTAAACTAATCATGTAAACTTACCATTTATAATTCTCGCCACTCGCCACAGTCTGAGAAGTATCAATAGTCCAATCGCTTCAAATTCCCGCTCCAGAAACAGAAGGACAATGTCGAGGACAAAGGAAATAATGACAACTATTCCATCCAGGACCTCAAACTTGTGGTGAAAGAACTCCAGGCGATAGATGAATAACTTAAACCCAATTTCCACCATGAAGAGGGTTAAAATAGCAAGACTAAGGTAGTGAAACACCTGAAAAGACACAAGCAAGGCTAATAATTCCATTGTTACGCAAGACGTCCAACACATCTGGTTGGACTGACCAGGCAAAGTGAGTACAGGTCTGTTTAACAGAGTTGGCTTAACGGGCGAGAAGACACCAAACCCCTGTATAGCATCTAGGACTTAAAAAGTGCAACGTTCTCACAGTACCGAACGGTTTAGGAGTTTGGTGTAGACAAAGCGCAGCGCTAAACCAGCCAACCTCTGGGTTAACCTCAACCAGCAAACATGGGTTTAAAACCACAGCTGCTTGGTGTTTACTAGGAGTGCAATGCAGTTTAGTTAAACCCCAGTTGAAAACGCACCTTTTTCCTACTGAAAGAAGCCATGAAAAGATAAGACCAGACCACAGTAACTCAGTGCGGTCTTTCCTGGTCTGCAGGCAAAGCAGCATTGCCCTGGGCTGCTGCTTAGAGCTTTCTTCAAGAATTAAGACAGATTCAAGGAGAGTCAGTGTCCACTGATGCTATCCAGAAGTCTCTGGGCAGCCGGAGAGCAGGAATCCGAGTCTCCAACCGGGCTGTCGCTTGGGGGATCTCCGAGCAGAGGCCTGGTCAGGGAGCAGGGGGCTTCACCTGACTTGTGGAAGCCGAGGGAGGCTCTGCATGAAAGTACCCCCTTCTGCAGCCTCCCGCTTGGAGCAGCTCCACACTCTGCAGTCCCCAGGCCTCCCTGGCTGCTGGAAGGAAAAATTCTGCCCGCCTCCCTATCTATTTGGTGTTGCACTCAAGGAAGGAAAGAGAAAGACAATTCCCTTGAAACTTTTCCTGCGTGTTACCTTGGGTGCTATGTGATTTTTGTCTGGGTGGATGATTTTCAAGTCCAGAAGCAATTCGACAAGCACCAGCAGAGCATCGAGAACGACCAGGCAAACCACCAGTATCTATGTGGGCAGAAAACAACAACATCAGGTTGCTAATCTAGGTGTGCGTGTTAAGCAAGCTTTCTAGCCTGACGTGTTACTTGGGGTCCTGGGCAAGCAGATTCATTGCTGAGGTCTTCTCGCATGCCGGCGTTATTTGTCAGGGAGGTAAAGTCTGGAAGGTGCAGAGCTACAAGTTCTGCCTAAGGCCCTCAAATCTAGATTCACTCTGTGCTACTGCAGAGGTTTGTTTCAGTCGTTGAATGAAGGGAACCTGTTCAGGTGGGCTGCCTGCGTCTTTTATTTGGAACTTCGTCCTGAAGCGCGCTCCTTACTCGGGCAAGTACCCCAGAGATGTCAGTGGGCTTGCTCACGCAGGGTCAGGCCCTCAATAGCCCCATTCACGTGACTGTCCACATGTCAGTGCTTTATAGTGAGACCTGTCCTAGCCCCCCAGATATTGCTGTTACAAAACATTTTGCAAATCCCATCTTATCACTAATAATAACCAACCACCGGCAACCTCCATTGACTCGGCCCTAGAGTTTAATGGGGAAACTCCCGCCAGCACGGAGCCATCACAACTTCTGCTGTGTGGAAGCAGAGCACAAGGTTGGTAGTGGACGAGCGAGCATCAAAAGATTGACATGTCTTACCATTTCAGGGACTGCCACGGATCACTTCAACCGGAGACCCAGGGCAGATTCAACATACTGAGACAACACAGCAGGTAGTCTGCCGATGTTCCCCAGAGGAGATGATGGGGGAAACTTCAAAAGAGCTTTTCGTCTGCTCCCCCCCACTTCTGAATCATCACTTATTACGTGTGCACAGACTCTAATTTCAGGAGCTGACTTGGGAAGCATAGGTGCCAAGTATGTGGGGGCTGCCGAAAGGCCTTGGCCCCCCTCGGGAAGAGGCCAGGGGACCGTCCATCCCTAATTGAAGGCTGACAAACCCAGGTTGCTGTGGCCCCCTACGAGGGGCAGGATGCAGGGGGGCACCACATGCATATATGTGCATGCACACATGCATATATGTGCATGCACACATGCATGTGGCCAGAAATACAGCTCCCCCAGCTGCCTGCCTATGGGTGGGGGGCAGACTGAAGCCCCCACGCTGAGGGAGGGACTGGACCTGGGAGCACTGCCCAACCAGGACAGCGCACAAGGCCTGGGGCAGGAGTGGGACAGAGCCATGAGCAGCTTGTCCGGGGCGGGGGGGAGCTCCCTGCCACTGCGTGCACTTTTGGGGAGAGGGGTAATGGGGGGAGGATTTGCCCCCCAGATTTGTGCACAGGGTGGGGGTGGAGTCAGGCTGCCCTTCCCCCCAGAAGCCCCGCACCCCCCCGCACTGCCCAGCAGCAGCAGCGGTGGCAGCAAGGAGTTGTGACCCCTGCTGCTGTCGGGTGGGCAGGGGCTCCCGGAGGCAGGGCGGGGAGCCCCAAGCCTTCATCCACCCTAGCCCCCCACGGGCTCCGCTTCGGCTGTGCTGCCAGGTAGCAGGAAGGGGACGTAATCTTAGGCACCCCCGGCAAAAATAAAAGCTGGCACTTATGTCGAAAGGGCCTGCTTGCACATAAAGTCTTGCAATACGGGGCCCTCGGCTTGCGCTCATCCTACCTGAAATCTGTGGGAGCTGAATAGCTTCTTCATCACATCCTGGAAGGAACGCTGTCTGACTGAGGGATCCACTGGAATCGCTGAATCTGCTTGCTTGTCCCCCGCTTCCTCGACCATCTCCTCTTCCTCCCATTTCCTGTAGTCATTGCTCCACTGTGCGGGGTCATCTCCAACAATGGTGAAGTGCTTCAGATACCTGGACATGGTTCTTGGTTACACGGACATTACTCTGCAGAAACAAACTATTGGAATAGTTGGATCAGGACATCAGTTCAATGGTGCAAGCTACTGCGCTAACCTGACCTAAGGCAGAGGGGAAGAGATCTGCGCTCCTCTCAACCCCACAGCTCACCGATGCTATGAAGTCAGAAAGGAACAGCAGCCTTTTGAACATTTAAACCAGACTGAGCCAGCCCTGCAGCGTGGGCGACTCCAAACTGCTGTTCAGGCCCACGGGTGTGATGGTCCTCTCAAGGGAAGCTAGTATTTGTTTACGGCTCTATTTATTGCACCGACAAGCCTTGAAGGTATGCTTAAGCCAAGCCACGCGCTAGGCGGGGTAACAATCAGCTTTCCTGTGTAACTAGTGCTTTCCTACAGGTGCTCCATTGCCTAGGGTTTCAAATTATTTGATTTGATTTGAGAGCAGACAGACGAGGATCCTCTCAAGCAAGCTTTTCCACCGATGGCAGGCCGCAAGAACATTACCTCGGTTTTAGGAGAGAGCAGATAGGTTGTAGCACAACATTTGCTTTGTTAAACAAAACTTGCTTAGAGGCACTGCCGCTTGCTTTGCGTCGCACGCTGTGTGCTGTCAGAGATCTGGGGTAGAAGTCAGATATATCCCACACAGAGATCAGCAAGACAAAGGACGAGAGAAGAAGGCAGTCACTATAAATGCTTCCTTTAAATCCATCTCTGCCCCGTTCTTAGCAGAAATGGGGCTCCCAGCTACTTAAACTGTTATGCCATGAAGCCAGAGATGCTTAATGGCGGTTTATGCAAAGTTTCAGGCACAGGCCTCTCAGCACACGGCAGTAACACCAACTACTGCCTCTCGCGTCGGGGGGTGTTTTACTGCCCTTCCGCACGGCCCCTCCAATTGATCGCTTCTAGCAAAACCGTTCTTCTCCGCACTCTTTGCCGGCAGCTTCCCAAGACCACACGAAGCCAAGGGGAGGTACTCTGGGAACTACTCTTCTGGGCCCGGCCGCTTTAGCAGGGACTGGCTCCTACCCCTGTGCCGCCTGCCTCAGCCTTTCCAGGGCAATGAGGAGCGTGGGCTCTAGTTGCCAATCCATGCGTTCCCCATTCCCCGGTGTGCTTTAAATTAGAAAAGTGACCTTGTGGAATGAAGACTGACCAGCTCCTTCCTCCCTGCCCGTTCCCGTCTCTCCCCACCCTGCCGGCACGTCCAGGGGCTGGTTGTGTTGATGCAACACAAGGGAAAGCTTCAAGTGAGATTACACATCAGAGACACGCAACGTTTAGACGGTTTGTTGTGGGCATGCCCTGCGTTTACGCTGTACCCGGGCAGCACGTAACCTCTCCGCCCTCGAGCCAGTCTCTTGCCAGGGACCCAGGTGCCTGCTCATCAACAGGGGCTGCTCTCAGTAACCGTGGGCAGGGGGTGGGAAGTAGCCATCCAGGCTCCACAGGACCACGAGCTACCAGGCCTCCATGCAGGAACAAAGCCTGTGGAAGCACAGGGGGTTTTGACCCCTTTTCTTCACCATCCCAGGGTCCCCCCCCCACCAGTAAGTCAGGACCTGAAGCCCAGACATCCGAGCTCTGCTCTGGCGAGGGACGGTGCCACGGACACCCTGTGCCTGCCAGACGCTCTGTGGAAGCAGCACGCAGGTCAGGGCACGACTGCACGGAGAATTGCAACCGCTCGCAAAGGGTCGGGGAAAACCATTGCTGGGTTGCCCCTCAACCCAGAGACTCCTTTTCTTCTACAACAGCGGTATCTATTCTGCAGTCACAGGCATGCTCCCGACAGGGCAGACACGGGGTCAAACACGCTCCCGTCACTGCACGCACCTTCCCTGGTACCGCACCACTTGCTCCCCTGCCTGGAGACCCCTGAGCCAGCCCGGCTCTGCCGGCGCAGGCAACATATACCTGCTGCAGGGACATCCAGGAGCTCTCAGAGCACAGAAGTCCTTTCCTCCCGAGGGGGCAAGGTATCTGGTGCAGTGCAGAGCCAGCCGCCCTCTTGTTTATGCCACTTGTCTGCGAAACGTCTTTTGTGCGTTGCCAAACCGCAGGGAAATTATTTATAAGATCCTTCAAAGTGTTCACACAACAAATAAGGTTAACGAGAGAAGCAGACAGCTGGCACTCAGCCCACAACCTTGGGGTGAAGAGGAAGACGGCCACCGACGCAATCTCCCGTCACGTTCCACTGAGTTACCGAGAACGACAAAGGAGGACTGTTGGTCAGAAAAATGTGACCCAAGGAAGGGAGATGACCTTTATTTAGTCTCTTTTTAATGAGTCTCATTTCTCCGTGATTTATGCATAAATTATTAGGCATACTTTACAGTAGGAGAGTGGCGTTTAGCAATTAAATGATTATTTCCTGCTCTAATAAAAGAGTGCGGAGAAGGTTATGGAGTTGGTTTAACACCTTGATTCTATTTCAAACCAGCTGTGATCCTCTTCGACAGCATTGCTCTGTTACAAACTACGCTCCGCTATAATGCGGTGGGATAGGGCAGCGTGCACACTGCGATACGTGAACCAGCCGTGTAGAAATCGGAGCGCTGGTACTAGGTGGAGAATGTCTCGGCTTAGAGAGTCAATGAAGTTCCTAGGGACAAGGACACTCATTAACAGTGATCGAGGGAAAAGGTTTCCTTAAGCTACCAGGCACTGCGAAGAAAGCTTCGTCAAAAAGCACCGAGGCTTCCCCACTGCCGAACGCTTTCCGGGACTATCCTGCGAAGTCTGGGGAGTTCAGAGGAAACGCGTGAATGTTTTGTAAGGTGATGAAGGACCCAATTCAGATGCCCTGAAAGCAATGGGTGCCATGCCAGGACGGCCAACAGGCCCTGAAGCAGCACCAGACAGCTCAGACCAGCTGGTGCAAGACCGAGGTGGAGGTTTGCATTAGGTGCTGCTTTGTCACACCTGCGGCTGCCGACCTCCTGCCCCCGCCCTTCAACCTTACCCTGTTCAGCCCTGGCTCTGCAGTTACTGGGAACAAACATCCCAGCGAACTGAACCGCAGTGGTATCCCGTCTGTCTCTGCAGGGCTCCTCCTCGGCTTCCCTCAAAGACAGCTGTGCGGACAGGAGAGGAATTGCGTGGACTCTGAGACCCAGCCCGATTCCTCGCATCTCTGGTGCTTGTCCACTTCTCCCTGCCCGGTTTTGAACAGAGATCTGCACCAGGAAACAAAAGAGCAAGTGCCTGCTCCAGCTGAGAAGTGTAGGCGCTGCAGGAGGAACTCCTCTTGCTAAACATTTACGATTTCAGCCTTGAACTTTCCCCAGAAGATGCCCCACCACACAGTGGAAGTGTGGTCAGTTTATGCAGAGTCACTAGTGACCGCCTCCCTAGAGCAGACTGCCATGCAAAATGCTGCCATCAGATCAGAGGCTGGCTGCACCTCTGTCCTGGTCTCCCCGTGGGTCAGGGTGTCGCACTCCTCTCTCGTGGGGTGGAATCACGTGGGTCTCCCACTCAGACCAGTCTGGGCTCCTGGACCCTGGGAGCAAACTGTGTTAACCCTGCAGCTCCAGCTGAGGCCGGTCCCTACATGTCCCTACATGTCTTCTCCTCCAGAGTCTGATCACCGACAAATGCAGTGACCAGAGATCCTTCTTAAAAGCAAAGCACTGTCTTCTTATCACTCTGGGAACAAGGAGAAAAAGGATTTTTTAAAGTCGTCTGCATGCAGGTTTACACTCATCTGATCTCCACAAACAGCTCCCCTTTTGGAGAGATTGCTCCTGTACTTCCAAACGTTGTTCCTCCTAGACCCAGCCCGTCTCGTAGGCTCAGCACAGAGTCACGCCCCAGGCCTCAGAAGCCCGCGTCTCTACCACTGTCCTACAACAACCCTCAAGGGTTTGCTTGTCTTCTTCCCCGCCAGCTCGTTTTCCTGTACACCCCTGGTTACCACTCAACTAATACAGGCAGGAGGCAGCATGACTAACTTCAGATGAACGCGGCTAACTACCTCTATTCATCCTGGTAGGGTCTGGCAGCCGGGGCAAGGTACAGGATTGTTCAGTTCCTACAGGGAGCTCCAACACCTTTGCAATAGCTGTCGATTGCTAAATGGGTTATGTGGGCTATAAACCATTTGGTTTGGCTTAAGTTTCTATCTTAGGCATTTTTATGGCCTCCCATTGCTACGCCATTCGAGCACTTCACAACAGCCCTGCGGCTTATGGCTGTGCTCAATCCCCCACCCTACAGACGGGGAGACTGAGATACGGACACACCAGTTCAATTTACCAAAGATCACACAGCAAGGCTGTAGCAGTCTCCTCCCTCCCAAACAAGTCCTCATCTGCTGGACTGGTCCCTCGCGTGCCAGTCAGAGCAAAGCCTTTCTGCTTCCATTAGCTAGAGACCAAGGAGAAACGCACCTCCGATGGTCTGTTTTGTGGCTCCTTGACCCACACTGGCCTGATCCAAAGTTCCCGGAAAGGGCACAGCCCAACCTAAACCTTTCCAACAACACTGGGTTCGGATCAGCACGATCCCGTTCCCTCTCCGACCGCTCAGGATGTTCCCGCTCAGCGACGTTGGCCACTCGCACTCTGCTGCTACAATTCGGAAGCACTGAGAAAGGGAAACAGGAGCTTACTTAAATGCCATCAGCAGTCCCTGCCATTTTAAGGCGTTGACAACAAGTGCCATAACCACAAGGAAACAGAGCACACGCACATTTTTAGTAGCTCACGTTTAAAAACCAACCCTGCCAGCCTCAAATTGTTGCAACGAACGTCCTGCACACTCCGAAACATTGCTCAAACACGCACCAAACCCACCAGCACGACGGCGGACGACAAGCGCTCCAAGCCCAGCAAAACTGCTTGCAACAACCCCTGCCTGACCCCACTTCCCATTTCACCACACCCTGACCCCTGTGTATCACAGCACAAGTCCATTAAAACACATTCAACAAGTAGCAGGCTTGGAAGACGGCGCGGGAGCCTTGCAAAGAACGTGCCTCAAGCCCAGGGTGCAAGTTATGCTGCGCACGATGTCAGGAGCCCACCTGCCCCCGGCCGAGGACTTGGGAGCTCCCTTTTGTGGCGCTTGCCACCCTTACCCACACGTCTGTCCCCTTGTGACGGGAAGACCACCAGTCATCGCAGACAAACGCTGCTCGCTTCCCTCCTTGCATGCCACGCTGATGCCCTGCACCAGCCCAGCTGGAGCGGAGAGCCCAGGATCCAGCTCTCCCTGGGGCTCCACGCTGGCCGGAGGCAGCAAGCAGTGGCCAGGACTTCCCAGCAGCAGCTCTCCCGCCTGGGGCACAGGGAAGCCGCCCTCCCGCAGCCGGGCACCTCCCGCGTGCAGCCAAGAGCCGGGCAGGCGCTGCGCAGGGGATGGAGGCTCCGGACAAGCAGCCCAGAGCAGGCAGGCGCGGGGAGGAGGAGGAGGAGGAGGAGGAGGAGAAGGCCCCCCAGCCCCGCGGTACCGTGCGTCCAGGCCCCGCCGGATGCACCGCTTCCTCCCGGGACCCTTCGGGCGTCAGCGGCTTCCCGTGATGCGGGCGCTGGAGGCGGGCCGGGCTTACCGCGTGTCCGCGCCCGGGGAGGGGAGGGACGGGGCCCCGCTGCAAAGGGGCGCTGCAGCAAACCCTGCAAGGGCCGGAGGGAGGCGCCTGCCTTTCCAGCCTGGGTGCAGCAGGACCCGAAGGGGGGACCTCAAATTAGTTTTAAAGCTGCTGCGAGTGCTTCCCCGCACCCCAGGGTGGATGGGACAGCGGTCAACCCAAGGGCACCGTGCCTCACCCCCACCTCTGCCCTTAGCCCCCTCTCGACCCAAACGCTTTCTTCCAACTGGTCTAATAAAAGATACCTCCGACATCTTTCATTTTCTGGCCGAAGTCTCAGCCAAAGCTCTCCTGCCGTAAGCCTGGCTCGGGCAGCCACATCAGGAGCCCGACTGAGGGGAGCGGCAGCTGGGGGAAGGGACAAAAATGGGCCTAATTACTTTTAAACCACCTGTATTGGTTTTTAGACTAGGCTTTCACTTATAAACCTAGCTGACAGCCGGACAACAACGCATGAAATGCGAACGGGCATTGCTACGGGGATCAGAGTTCAGCTGGAAAGAGTCTGGGGATTAATTCCACTGAGCAGCCTCAGGTTGCTGGATCAAAGCAACAGGTGAGCGCCCTGGAAATTTAGACCAGGATTAACCAGTCTTGAGTTACAGACTTCTGCATTATCAGCTCTCAATATCCTCTCCTTACTTTA